AATGCCACTCAACAAAGCCCCACCCGCTGAGTCACAGTCACACTCTCCACAAGAGTTTAAAAAAGAATTCAAAAACTTACCCTCTCAAGATGGCTGCCTGGAAACTGCTTTCTTCCCCTTTCCTAGCAGGAACTGGCCTGGAAAGCTTCTTTTTCTTTCTCCTTTCCTGGCAGAAAATACCTAGAAAGCCTCTTTCTCCTCTCTTTTAGAAACTGGCCTGGAGAGCCTCCTCCTCCTCCTTCCCTCTCCTGGCCAAAACTGACCTGAAACTCACCTCTGGCAGCAGTTGTATAGAGCTAACTGCCTAGCCCACCCCCTATTGGGATGCTTAAAGAATGTGCTTGCATTGAACAATGAATAACAGTTGGCCTTCCAAAATTCAATTGTCCTTTATCCTAGGCCACATTTTCCTACAGTCTTTTTACTCTGCTACATTTCCTACTTTTGTATTTCAATTGTTTATGATTAATATGATGTCCTGCTTTGGTGTGTGACCAGTTTTTTCTGGGACTCCAGCACAGAATCTTTCCATTTCTCCTTCAATTGCATCTGCAATTGGAGCATAAACTCAGATTATGGTTATACAATGGACCCTCAGTATCCATTGAGGCTTGGTTCCAGGACCCCTTATGGATACCAAAACCTGTGTCCCATTAAAGTCCCATTAAATACAATGGCATGGTGGAATGGTGTCCCTTATATAAAATAGCAAAATCAAGGTTTACTTTCTGGAATTTCTATCTTTTGAAAAAATATTTTCAAGCTGTGGGTGGTTAAATACGTGGATAAAGAATTTGTGGATATGAAGAGACAACGGTATTGATCAGTTTCCCCTAAAGTCTTATTGATATTATTCAGTCAGATTTTGCATTATATCCTTTGACTGCTTTTGCTACATCTCATCTATTAATGCTTCCGCATTTCTTCTTAGATTTTCATTTCCTCAATAAATTGCTGGATAATTATCTGACTCAAAATCTCCCATTCCTGCCCACATTAGCTTGCTCACCCCAAGTATTGTAATGTTTATACGTTCAATTTCTTGTTTTATTATGTCTAGCTTCCTGATTCATGCTTCAAACATTCCATGTTCCTTTGTGTTGTGTAGCTTTAGACTTTCTTCACTGAGAACATCAGCAGCTGAATGTCCTTTGTCTTGAGTCTAGCTGCATCATTAGCCATTGTTAGCCATAGTTGTCCTCTGCTGCACCCCAGTAACTCACTGAGTGTCTTCCAACCTGGGAGTCTCATCTTCTGACACTATCCCTTGATTCATTTTGGATTGTCTCATCATACAGTTTTCTGGTAAAAGACATTCTAAAAGGGTTTATCACAGGGGTAGGCAACCTTTCCCCTTTAAGGGCCGAGGGACTTCAGCTCCCAGAATCCCAGGAGCTACTGGCCAACATGGGACTATTGGCCAACATGGGACTATTGGCCAACATGGCTGAGGCTTCTGGGAGCTGAAGTCCCTTGACCCTTAAAGGGGAAAGGTTGCCTACCCCTGGTTTATCGTCTTCCTTCTATACATTACTAACAAGTGTTAAGTATGGTGCCACTGCTGTTATCTCTGAGAGATTCCCCACCAGTGTCAACCCCCACTACTGCTGCTGCCCAGTAGCTGTTTGGCACATTTAGCCTAGCTCATCAAAAGCCTGACATGGGAACCCCCTACTAGCAGCACTGTTACCATCAGCATAGCCTCTTGCCTCATAAGGGCATGCCATCCCACCACCGTGGAAAGGTAGAGCCATGGTGAAATGATGATGCAATCAACAAAATCTTTCCCAAAACTTTCCCATGGTTGAGACAACACCAAAGTGAAAAGCTCTGTTTCAGGGTCGCTGAGAATTCAGTAGTGGTTTTAGGACTGTGCCCTTTACAAATGTAAGACAATCCATCTGTAGTTAAAATTCTACCTGTAAATAGACCAATGGTTCCAATGTCATTTTACTTAAGTGAATCATCCTAAGCATGTTGATTGAGAAGCAAGTTCCATTTTAATGATTCTGGGTCCCTAGGAAGAATATCTTAGGACCCTATTTACCCTAATGTCACCAAAATAGCACCATCTGCATATAAGGGAGGTATCAGTAGGCTTGAAAAAAATAATAAAACTACTACTACTTTAGGGGGGGAAACATAGCCAATCAAAGTGAGCATGCTGAGAATCAAATGTTGCTGGAGCAGGCAAAGAAAAAGCAGAGGAAGAAATGGGCCGTAGAATACTGACATTCTGGTTTACAAGGTAAACCAACACAGATCTCCATACAAAAATAAAACAATGTTTACCATCACCACTACCACCACCACTTTTCCAAAGCTTTATAGTTATATTTCACTAAGTCACAACACAAGTCAGATGTGGTCCCAGATTGTGCATCCTGGATCTATAGGTCAGCAGCACCAAATTTAATTTTTTGTCCTCACTGCTTCTTGTATGAAATATATTTTTTCACTGCTTTAATAGCACACTGGCTGTTCAATATTGTATGTCTCCTACCTTGTGCTATATATACCTATTAATGTAGATATTCCATTTATGGCTGTTACACATTGTCTCTATTTTTATCAATTACAAAAATTCACAAGATGTTCAAGAAAACATGGTTTATAGTTGAACAAAATTCTAATCACTTATCACAATAGTTAAATGGGATTTGAAGGATTGGAACCATATTTACATATTTATATGATGCAATAAATGGGGGGAAATGAAGTAGGCAAGATGTTTATCCCACATTCCAGAAGGCCTGTATATGATCAGAGACTGGATATGGGATTAAAAGCATAAAAAGTTTTCTGTCAAATATTTCAAATATTCTGGTTTTATATAGTTAATTTTAAAATATACATGAATTCATCCCATTGGCTATATAAATTTAAACTGCAGCTATTTTGTTCATTTATAGCATAAATTAATAATAGTACAGAATCATTATGAAAATAGCATGCCAATTTTTTGCTCATTTTGTTTGCTGTTGCCAACCAATACTGCTTCATTAAAACAAGAGAAAAAGAAAGCACCATTCTTGTTTAAATAAGTTTTCAATGTACACTGATCCCCCCCAATAAACCTATAAATCTGTTTGCAAGAATAAAGCTCACGTTGTATTACATTTCCACCTCATAAATTCTCCCTCTGATAACAAATGCAAGACGAAAGGAAACCCCTGCCTGTATTATCTGATCAGATGTAAGCCAGATTCAGCACCAGCTTCATGCTGAATGTGCCAATGCCAAATAATTATTTGGTATTTAGAAATATTATCTCCCTATAGAACTGAGAAGAGAGTTTATTTTTAAAAAATGTGCTCAGGTCTGGCGTGGACAACGTCCAGAAGGAGGAGGAATGTCCAGTATCCTGCGTCGATCTTCATATTCGTCAGTATCTGTTGAGTCTTCATCCTCATCCATAGCACATTCATTATGATGGGTTTCCTGAATGCAACAATCAAAACACAGACTTAGACAAAGTTTCTTTGCAAAACCATCTTAGCTAAATATTGTTCTAATTTATGCTCTCATCCCATCTAAAAAAAAAAAAAAAAAACAGCAGAAGTTAAAAACATTAACATCTTTGTTGTTTTTAATTGCCCAACTGTCAACCTCAACCCTGTGGATGAGACATCTCCAAAACCCCTGATTTTCCACTGCTCTTCTTAAATCTTGCAGATTAATGTCCATGAGCTCCCTAGTTGTGTCTAGTCATCTGGCATGTAGTCTTCCTTTCTTTCTACAACCTTCTACCTTTTCTAGCATTATTGTCTTTTCCAATGAGTCATGTTTTCTCATGATTTGGCCAAAGTACAACAGCCTCAGTATTACCATCTTAGCTTCTAAGGGTATTTCATGCTTGAGCTGTTCAAGGACCCATCTGTTTGTCTTTTTGGCTGCCCATGGTATTTTCAGCACTCTTCTCCAGCACCATCTCTCAAATGAGTTAATTTTCTTTTTATCTACTTTTTTCACTGCCCACATCTCACATCCATACAGTGACGTAGAATACTATGGCTTGGATAATTCTAACTTTAGTGCTCAATTGTTTAGAGCAGGGCCCGGCAACCTACGGCCCCTGGGCTGGTTCCGGCCCAGGTCACCGGACTTAC